TGTTCAGAGCATTACAGATATTTCCCATTCCCCCTCTCTTCTTGATTCCCATCCCAACCCATGCATTCACCACTCTATAGTCTGTGTCCGTGGGTAATGTATATATGCATATAAATTATTTGGTTAATCTCTTCCTGCCCCTAATCCTACCTTCCCTCTGAAATACATCAATCTCTTCCATGTTTCCATGCCTCTGTTTTTATTTTATTTATCACTTTATTTTATTCATTATATTCCATATATAAGTGAGATCATGTAATACTTGTCGTTCTCTGGCTTATTTTGCTTAACAGTTCCCTCCATGCTGTGTCATAGGGTAGTAAATCTTTCTTTTTTACAGATGTATAGTATTTAATTTTGTATATGTACCACAGCTTTTTTATCTACTCATCTACTGATGGTCACTTAGACTGTTTCCAGATGTGAGCGATTGTAAAAAGCACTTCTATGAGCATAGGGGTGCATATATTTTTTTTCTGACTGGTGTTTGGGGATTTTTAGGATATATTCTGAGAAGTGAGATCACTGGATCAAATGGCAATTACATTTTTAATATTTTGAGGAAATTCGATACTGTTTTCCATAGTGGTTGTACCACTCTGCCATCCCACCAGTAGTGTACTAGGGTTTCCTTTTCTTCACATCCTCACCAGCACTTGTTTGTTGATTTATTGATTGTAGCCATTCTGGCAGTTGTGAAGTGATACTTCATTGTCATTTTAATTTGCATCTCTTTGATCATTAGTGATATTAAGCATTTTTTTTATGTCCTATTTGGAAAAGTGTCAATTAAGATCCTGTGCACATTTTTTTTATTTTTTTATATTTAAGCAAAGGGATAATATGATTTCTTTTTTTATTTATTTATTTTATTTTTTTATTGATTAATTTTTGTTACAGATGATTCTCCTTTTTCCCCCCACTGATTCCCCCCTCTCCCTTCCCTCCCTGCCCCTTCCCCAGATTGTTGTCCATGTCCACTGTTCATGCATACATGCGTATAAGTTCTGTGGTTCATAAAAGCCATATATGAAAGACCTGCGCACATTTTTAAATTGGATTGTTTGTCTTCTTTTTGTTGAGTTGTATGAGTACTTTATATATTTTGGAGATTAACCCTTTATCAGATATATTATTGGCAAATATGTTCTTCTAAACAGTGGGTTCCCCTTTCATTTTGATGCTAGTTTCTTTTGCTGTAAAGAAAGTATTAAGTTTGATGTAGTCCAATTTGTTTACTTTTTGCTTTCTTTCTCTTGCTCTAGGTAATGTATTGGTGAAGATTTTGCTATATGAGATGTTTAATATTTTACTGCCTGTTTTCTTTGACAATTTTTATGGTTTCCTGAATCACATTTAAGTCTTTTATCCATTTTGAGTTTATTCTTGTGTACTGTGTAAGTTAATGGTCTAGTTTCATTTGTTTTCCCAATGCCACTAATTAAACAGACTGTCTTTACTCCATTGTATGCTCTTCCCTCCATTTTCAAATATAAATTGAGCATAATAGCTTGGGTCAGTTTCTGTGTTCTCTGTTCTGATCCATTGATCCATATGCCTGTTCTTGTGCCAGTCCCAGCCTTTGATTACAATAGCTTTGTAGTATAACCTGAAATCTGATCTTGTAGTCCTTCCTACTTAGTGTTTTCTCATGATTACTGTTGCTATTCAGGGTCTATTTTGGTTCCACATACATTTTTGGAGTATCGTTCTAGACCTGTGAAATATGCTATTGATATTTGAATACGATTGCATTGACTCTGTAGATTGCTTTGTGTAATATGGACATTTTAATCATGTTAATTCTTCTAGTCCATGAACACAGTTTATTTTTCTGTTTGTTTATATCTTTATTTCTTTTTGCAACGTCCTATACCTTTCCATGTACAAGTATTTTACCTTCTTGGTTTAGTTTATTCCTAAGTATCTTAATTTTTGTTGCAATGGAAAATGTTTTTTGTTTGTTTGTTGGTTTGTTTTTTTAGTTTCTCATTCTAATACATTGTTGTCGGTGTATAAAAATGCCTTAGAGCCCTGGCCGGTCTGGCTCAGCAGTTAGAGCATCGGTCTGTGGTCCAGAGAGACCCGGGTTCGGTTCCTGCTAGGGGCACGTACCTTGGTTGCAGATTGTCCCCGGCCCTGGTTGGGTCATGTGGGTGGCAACCACTCGATATGTCCCATTCACATAGATGTTTCTCTCTCTCTCTCTCCCTCCCACTCTATCTGAACAAAATATCAAAAAATGTCCTCAGGTGAAGATAAAAAAAATGCCTTAGATTAATTGTTGTTAACTTTGTATCATGACATGTTGTTTTGTGTGTGTGTGTATGTTTTGTAAATAAAACTTTATTTACAAAAACAGGCAGTAGACTGGATTCGTCCCACAGGCTATATTTTGTGAACTCCTGCTGTAGAACATACAAAAATTAACATTCACATAGGTATAGTGAAATGATCAAATGTTGAAAATGGCAGAAGGGATTCATTCAAGGGGAAGAGAGTTAGATAAAGAAGCAGTGGATAATTCTTTGGGGGCTTTGTAGAGCAACAATAAACTATACAGGTATTTTGAGCTTTCTCCCAAATAGAAGAATGAAGTTAGAGTCATGACATGTTGTTTAATTCACTTATTAAATCTAATAGTTTTTTGGTGGAGTCATTATGGTTTTCTATGTATAATATCATGTCATCTGTGAATAATGATGGTTTCACTTCCTCCTTTCCTATTTGGATACATTTTATTTCTTCTTCTTGCTTGATTTCTTTGGCTAGGACTTCCTGTGCTATGTTGTGTAAGAGTGGTGCAAGCAGACATTCCTGTCTTGTTCCTGTTCTTAGGGGAAATGATTTTAGTTTTGCCCATTGAGTATGATATTGGCAGTAGATTTGTCAAATATTACATTTATTATTTTGAGGTATGGGCCCTCTATGCCCACTTTGCTGAGAGTTTTTATCAAATATGGGTGTCAGATTTTTTTCAAATGCTTTTTCCGCATCTATTGATATGATCATGTGAGCTTGATTGGTAAAAGGTAATTTCAGTTTGTTTATGTGATTTATCACATTTATTGATTTGTGTATATAGTACTAGCCTTGTATCCCTGGAATAAATCCCACTTGGTCATAGTGTATGATCTTTTAAATATACTGCTAAATTTTATTTGCTAATATTTTGTTGAAGATTTTAACAACTGTGTTCATCAGGGATATTGGCCTGTAATTCTCTTTCTTATAGTGTCTTTGGTTTTGGAATTAGCTTAATGCTGGCCTCATAGAAGGAGCTTGGAAGTGTTCCTTCCTCTTTGATTTTTGACAATAGTTTGAGGAGGATAGGTGTTAGGTCCAATTTGAATGTTTGATAAAACTCTTCTCTGAAGCCATCCAGTCCAGGGCTTTTGTTCGCTTGGAATTTTTTTTTTTTTTATTACTATTTCAGTTTCATTGTTTGTTACAAGGTTTTCTGATTCTTCCTGATTCGGTTTAGGAAGATGTTATTTTTTCAAGAATTTCTCCATTTTGTTTAGGTTGTCCAGCTTGTTGGCATAGTATTTATTACAATCCTTTTTATTTCTGTGGTGTCATTTATTTCCACACCTCTTTCATTTTTTATGTTGTTTATCTGGGTCTTCTCTCTTTGTTTCTTTATGTGTCTGTCTCAAGGTTCATCAATCTTGTTTATCTTTTCAAAGGACCAGCTCTTGGATTCATTGATACTTTTAATTATTTTTTATTTTAGCCTCTATGTCCTTTATTTCTACTGTGATCTTTATTATTTCCTTTTTAGACTTACTCTTGCCTTTTCTTTGTTGTTCTCTTTGTAATTCTTTAAGTTGTAGGGTTAGATATTTTATTAGATATTTTTCTTTTTCTTTTTTTTTAAGGTAGGCTTGTAATACTATGAATTTCCCTCTCAGGATTGCTTTTGCTGTGTCCCATAGATATTGGGTTGTTGTGGGTTCATTTTTATTTGTTTCCAGAAGGTTTTTGATTTCTTCCTTGATCTTCTTGGTAACACATTCATTTTTTAATAACATGATATTTAGCCTCCATGTGTTTGAATGTTTTTTAGTGTTTTTATTGTAGTTGATTTCTAGTTTCATGTCATTGTGATCTGAGAAGATGCTTGATATGATTTCAATCTTTGTGAACTTGTAGAGACTTAGTTTGTGTCCTAATGTGGTCTATCTTTGAGAAGTACCCATGTGCACTTAACAGGAATTTATATTCTGAAGCTTTGGGATGGAATGTTCTGTAAAAGTCAATTAAATCCATTTTATCTGAGCAGCATGTGGAAGCAGCTGGCAGCTCCCCCACCCAAACTGCATGCCCTGAGTTTCTGCACTGACTAGAAGATGTCCACCCTCACTTACAGCCTCATACTTTGTGTCTCTCACACACACTCACCCACTCATACTCACCCTCACTCTGGTCTTGCCTGCCACCATGATTTTTTCCTCAAGAGTATTTCTGATTCAAGTAAAACATGTGCATAATATGGTACATCAAACTCTTTATTATCCTTTGTTTTTTGTATATTTCAGAACAACAATGAAAACCTAAACACAGAACACTAAATCATTTGATCAAATCAATGAAAAGACAACCAAATACACTTTTCTGGTGATAGCAATGACCAGTTGCTATGCAACTGATTGTATCATAGTACAATTAATTGGCTTAAGTTCTTAAGACTACTAAAATAAGTAGACCAACCTTTTCATGGTCATATCTCATTTATTTAATCGACTATGTAGTAGTCTATTGCTTAACCTGTACATTCTATCCATCGCTATAGAAATGGAATAGCTTATTAGTTTGAGAAAATGGTATTTTCTACTATAGTAGCAGAAATGACTGTAAATTATCAGATTATCAGTATAATTGAATTTAGGCTTTTTCTGGCGAATGTTGAAATAATAAAGAGAAGATAGAAAACATTAACCATTTTTAAAAATTTTTATCAGGGCTATTCTGCTGTGTTCCTCCTTACTCATGCAGTTTTAGAAAAAATTAACAAAATCCAACTCTCGTTTGAAAGTTATGGTGACTTCAAGCGTTTCAGTTTCCAGGATATAGACAGCTTTGGCACTGTTGCAATCCACAGGATGAGGAAGGTTCAACAACAGTTTCCTAAACAAAACAAAACAAAACAAAAATATAAAATCAGTTCCCTAAAGTGATATCAAGAAGACATCACTTTTAATAAGGCAACAGAAAGCAAGATATACCATCACAACATTAGAAATCAAAAAAGAATATTTCAAAAGTGTAAGTACTGGATCAAAAGTATGCCTATATAACACAAATTGGGTATTAGTTTTTTGGCCTTAAAAATCCAAGCAGTGGTTCTGACTTCCCCATATTTTTTCTAAATTGGCCTCGTTTTGTATTATATAAACCTAGTCTCAGGCTACGTTTATAGTCATAAAAATAGAAGCAGTGCAACTTTAAGTTTGTTGGATAGATCTGTTGCCAAACATACTTATATGTGCATGGAATGTGGCTAGCTGACACAAATCTGAAAACTGGAATGGTTCTATAAGAATTCTGCTAACACAACTTTAGGCTGAGTTTCCATTGCAAGTGTAGTCAGTGAAACTCAGGCCTGGAATAATTTCAATACCAGGTAAATGAGAGTGCTTCTCTCTGCTTGTTTCTGGTTCTTTCTACTATGCATTAACAAAGAGTCTCAGTGAGGGATTGCTGGGTTTATTTTGCAGTGGATGGCTCAGTTACTGTATAGCTTCAGGCTTTAGATGCATTGTTGGTATGTGACATCCATAATTCTGCCATAGTAATATGAATCTAAATTATGCATGGGGTTGGCACATCTGAAGGCAATTAAATGCATGAAACACTTGTTACCTCACATTCTCAATAGAGAAGGCTTAAGTATTTCCAAACCAGTGGGCAGGAAAGCTCTTTTACAAAGTATAAAATCCAAATCAGTAAAGGAATCTGGTATTTTTAGGGGTACTTATTAAATACTGCATAAAGAACTAGTATTTGAAAACAAAAATCTTGAAAATTAATTGCTTCTTTACTCATTTGCAGACCTAAGTTCAGGATACTGGACTCATTAAAAGTATTTATCACACATCTATGGAACCTGAAGGAGTAATATTGTGACACTTATTCCATTCCAGACATTTGGGGTAGGAGCAAAAACCACCTTAAGTAATGAAATCATGATGTATTTTAAGGTAGCCTGTAATATTTGACATCTCAAAAAAAAGTAGGTGCAGAAACATTTAGAGTCCATCTTTTTAAAAGTAACAAGATAGCCCTGGGCGGTTTTGCTCAGTGGTTAGAGCGTCACCCTGCGGTTCCGAGACCCGGGTTCGGTTCCCACTAAGGGCATGTGCCTCAGTTGTCTTCGGCCCTGGTTGGGTCGTGCAGGTAGTAGCCACTTGATGTGTCTCTTTTGCGTCGATGTTTCTCTCTCTTAAAAAAAAAAAAAGGTAACAATATAGATTTTGCTGGAATTAGATTTGCTTTATCCTTTATTCTACAAACGATAATATATTCACTTTAAAAAGAAAGCAAATTTCAATGGTGGTAGCTTCACTGTACTAAAATACAAGTATAAATCAGCTGAACAAGGAGTTCCAATGACAATGTGCACTTCTCTGTTCAAAGAGAAATAAATTTTAAAAAGACAGTTAGTGGCCATTGGAATGATCCATCTATCCCTGCATTTATGTCTAGTTCTTAGCAGTATGGCTTCACATACTAAAATTTTGAACAATACAAGCTGTGTGACTTATTTAGGCTCTTAGGAGAAGGAAAGTATTTTTTTCTTGTCTGTTTTACTGTCTCATATATGAACTGAGATGTATATTTAAAGAAAGTGAAGTTCCACAAATACTTAACCACTGAAGGACTGGAATGTATCTTATATTGGTGTCCCCCAGTGTCTAGCAGAAGACTTTATAAATATTTGTTGAGTGAATAAACAAGTGAAAATCAAATTGGTCACCACAAAATTATATTTGAATACTATTTCAAATTATTACTATAAAATATGAACAAACATTTAAACCCAAATTCCTCTGTTTTTACATTGATAAGATCTTTGTATTTTAAGAAGCTACAGTTTAAAAATTGATCAAATGTTTATCCAGTGCTAATTTTCACTAGAAATTATTTCAATACAAACAATAATATGTGAAAATTTAAAAATTATCTATACAGTGAACTATACTTTAGAGATTTGCATGCTTACATTTATATTGGAGAATTCAAGTTGATATTACTTACAAGAGATTTACATAAAGAACAGCCTTGCTCTGTGCATATTTACATATAACAATTTTTATTTTATATAGTTAATAAATAATTTTATTTACATGTCAGTGTTAAAAACAGACATGACCTTTTTAAGGTTTCCTATTGGAGACATAACTATTTTCAAAGAAAGTGCTGAAATAGCTACTGAGCTGCAATTCACTATTTCATTTAGAAAACTTTTTTTAGATATCAATGACATTGAATATCAGTCAACTCACAATTAATCTGAATTAAACGAACACAGTAAAGGTGAGAATTATCTAAGGCAGCTCTCAACTAAAATTAACTTATACTTGTCTTTAGAATGTTTTTATTATCACATTGAAGGAATTTGTTTTAATATTCTTAGAATTCACTTTGAAAAATAATGAAACACCATATGAAGACATCAGGAAATTCTGGGAAATTACCCAATTTCCCCTATCTTTCCTCCTTTCCATCTACTTTATGTTGAGACTCTACATGCTAAAACAACCAGTTTTTAATAAATAAACAATTCAGTAAACTGAATTATTTCTTTTGGTTGTATAATGTTAAATATCTGGCTATTATTAATAATTACAATGTAATTAATTATTATTTGACTGATATTAGTAGTCAATACAATGAAAATGAATTCCTACTTGTTCATTGCCTTATAGATATATGAACAATTCTGAATGTCCTCCCTTATCTTTCTTGAAGCAAGTAAACATAGCTTTATAGGGTGTCAAAGTCAGAAACTAAAGAAAGTAAATGTGAATATAAATAAACTAAAAAAAAAGACACATTTTCAATAATACAAATTAGATAATAGCATGGCTCCAAAGAACACTCCAGTGTTTAAGAAAAGAGATAAAAACCTTAATTCTTCCTATTGTCCTCTATTTTTTTTTATTGTTATTAGTTTATTTATTTTTTGTTACAGATAGTTCTCCTTTTCCCCCCATTGACACCCTCCTCCCGATCCCTCCCTGCATAATTATAATGATTTTTTCCTTATGAGAAAGTATTTATCTGTACTGATCATTTAATATTTAAATATATTATGATCCAAATGACCTAATGCAGCCCACATTTTATGTGGAAAAGTATCTCTGTTTGAGTCTTTCATTTAGTGGGCTCTGCTAGATATCTGGAATGACAGCATAGCCAGAGAAGCTGCCTAAAGATTGATGGAGACTGTAAGAACTGCTAAGGAAATGGAAATTAACTCCACGTTGTGTAGATATGTGTGTACTTTTAACAAGTGCACAGATATCATGGAAGATTGATCGTCCATTTAACTAACTTCCCTTGAAAAGGTTGGGTACAAGAATAAATGTGTGCATAATATGCAATGAAAAAATTACAATATTCCCTGAAGTAAATGGTAGAGATAGTGAATATATATTTTATTGCGTGAGATAATCATGAGAATACATTTTTGAAATTACTATATAAGTAACAAGAAAATATTTGATATGTATTCATCTGTAGATCATTTTGTGTTAAATGCATCTATTGTAGAAATCGAGGTTAAGCTATGTATGAACACTGTATTGTTTATACATATGAGTCCTTTGTGTGAAGGATCTACTTTGTATATTTTTGTAACTCTAAGAGCAACAAAGGAGAATTATAGGTACTAATAATGGAATGAAGAGAATGCTCCTCACACACAATTTGAGATATTGATGAGTTATAGAAAAAGAACCACTGCAGTCAACCAAAATGTGTTTACTGCTATACATTCATATGAAAAGTGAACAATGCAGTGAGATATTTAGACATTTTATCTAGAACACACCAGGTTCCATTGATTCCCTCTTTATAGAGTTAGTTTTGAGAAACAGGACTGATTCATACAGGCTTCAGGATAAAGACTTTATAACATTTTTACTGTATGTATTCAGTTTTGTGAACATGATTTGAACCTGTGTAATAACAAGACAATTTTGAAAATATCAAAGTATTTAATTGAGTAAATCCACTGTCATCTGTATTACTTTAAAATGTATTCACAAAATTTAAGGATCTAGTGATGAATTAGCTTTTAGAATTTCTGTTTTAAGTAATTGATGACAAAAATTTGTGTTGCTCTGGCAAGGTAGCTCAGTTGGTTGGAACATTGTCCAGTACACCAAAAGGATGCGAGTTTGATTCCTGGTCATGGTACATACTAGGTTACAGGTTTAATTCCCTTGTCGGGTTGCACACTGGAGGAAACTAATTGATGTTTCTCTCTCACATCGATGTTTCTCTCTTTTTCTCTCTTTTCTTTCTCCTCTCTAAACATATCCTCAAGTGAGAATTTAAGAAAAAAGAATTTTTGTGGATTTTTAGTTGAATATAATCAAATTTAGTCATAGAGCCCCCACCATATCCAAAAAGTTTAAATATATTGCTTCTCTTATGCTACCACTATAGAAACAAAACAACCCCTCTCAAAAAAATCAAAAACACATGCAAGACCTACAACTTAAGGAATTTTCACCTATAGCTATTTTTCCTGACAGATAAGCCAACTGTATCTGAATGTCAAAGACTGTGTTTTGGAGACATCAACCTACTCCAAATATATAAATGCACAATAGACAAAATTTAAGTATTTCCAAATACATTTATGTTTATATTATGTAGATCGAAGACATGAATGATTAGCTGACTTTTTAACTTTTCTTCAGACTTTAGGGGTGATACAAAATAACTATGTACATTAAAAAATATTGACTGAGGATTCATTCATATTTTAATACATTATTCTAGTTCTAAGTTTTACTCACTTATCAGGAGTACGAAGATCAAGAATCGTTTCCTGGACATTAATTTTAATTTCAGAAGGATTTGTATTTGGCAGTTTAATTTTAACCTGAAAGAGAAAAAGAGAAGAAAAATACTATTGTCTTGAAGAATAGTTAATTTGAAGAGTGTTAGAAAACATAGGGAAATGAGAACTAATATTTATTAAGTGCCAACTATGTGCCAGGCTATGCCATTTCCTCATAGCAATCTTGAAAAGAAGGGATTATTACCCCAGTTTTACAGATGGAAAAACTGAAATACAGTGAAGTTTAGTGAGTGGCCCAAGAGCAATGGTTTGTGATTTGACTGAGGCCTATCAAACTCCAAGGCTCTACAGAAATACTTTGGTAACTTGCCTGTAACCTTCATTGTCTGAAGGTGCATTGCAGTACACTTGCTCAAGTTGGAGACTTTTAACTGCCTTTATATCAGTGGGCCCTTTGTATAAAAAAAATGGTAAGTTCTCATGTTATGTGTGGATTGATGATGCCATCTGGTAGTCTCCTGTCATAAACTCCCATACCACATTTCCTAGAGAAGTGCAGGAGTCCAGAGAAGTTGTTAACATAATAAAAGAGAAATAACAATATGGCCACTACACATAAAATGGGAATATTTATTAGTTTGGTAGGTTTTCACTTAAAAAGTCTCATTTCACTTACCACATGATCCAGTAATTCCACTGCTGAGTATATACCCAAGAGAATTAAAAGCAGGTGTTCAAGCAAAAACATGTACATAATGTTTTTGTTCACACCAGCAGTATTCACAATAGCCAAAAGACAAAACCACCCAAATGAATATCAACTGATGAATGGATAACCCAAATGTGGTATATCCATAGAATAGAATATTATTTAGCTATGAAAAAGAATGAGGAACTATTATGTGGATGAACCTTAAAAACATTAAGACAAGTGAAAGAAGTCAGGCCTAAAAAGCCACCTATTGTAGGAATTATTTTATGTGAAATATCCAGAATAGGCAAATCCATAGAGACTCAAAACAGGTGGTTGCCAGAGGCTGGGGAGGGAGAAAGAAGGAGTGACTGTTAATTGAGCATGGATTTCCTTTGGGTTGATGAATATATTCTGGAATTATATATTGGTGATGGCTGCACAACACTGTGAATGTGCTAAATATCACTAATGGCAAATTTTTTATTATGTCTATTTTATCACAATACAAAATCTCATCTCTCTGACTTAATTAATCCTCTTTTTGATAGAAGTTGATTATCTACCTATCTAACTATCTGAGATGATGTGGCATATGGTTTCCAAAGACAAAGAAAAAAGAAAAACAACCTAAGGTTAAGGTAAATTATGAAGACTTATCTAAAATGAGCTTAAAGACTTGAAATATTAGACATCTGGTGATTTCAGAGCTGGAATGGAAAGGACAAAAGCTATAGATTTTGAGGGTAATACATATCAAATAAATAATGGGAAAAATGGAATTCCTTGTAAGAAGCTTAAAGTAGGCAATAGTATTTTTGCAATATAAAGCATGTGGGCCAGTACATGCCTGTGCATTACAGCTTACTTTATTACAATTGTAAATTTAAAAAATATGTATAAATAGAGTTCTAGAGGTGCTACTCTCTAAATAAATCCTATCCTCCTTCATGGGAGATCCACTAGCCCCACCCTCCTGACTCCCTGCAGCCTCACCCTGTTGAGCTTGGGCTCCTGGCAGAATCTTGGTCAGAGTGCATTGTATGGCTCTAGGACAAGGGCCATTTTCCCTACATACATCTGAACAGTGCAGAGCCCTCTCTTCACATGACCAAATCTTTGTCTGTTTGTGCCTGATAAACTCTGCTTGTCTCACTCTGATGACTCCCTGAAACCCCATCCCACTATAAATTTCTGTAGGCACCAATCAGGTGGCAGGTAGACTTGGTATACCCTGAGACATATGATGAGTGGCCACTGACCCAGCACTGGCACCAAGTTTGAGCCTATATCAGTCTGTTGAGTACCACTTGCCCCTACCTGGTAATTCACTGAGAACCTTCCTCATTACTGCCAGAGATTCTTTCAGTAACTGAGTCTATCAGGCAGCTGGCAGACAAAGGCAGCTGGAGGCATGTGCCATTGGGGGTTGGAAGATGGACTTTTTAACCTTGTGTTAAGCACTCTCAACCTTGTGTTAATGCATTCTCAGAATCCAAACCTGGGGGGCAAACCTGGCCCACCCAGGTGTATTGGGTGTTTTATTTGCATGTGAATAAGGGTTTGTTATCTTTTAGCTTCAAGTTCTCTTTCTGTAAAGAGCAAGAGACAAAGCTAGGGTGTATGCAATAATGCCATCTCAAGGAAATAATTTACTTAAATCCACTTGTGACCTGGGGGTACCAATATGCAAATAAATGGGACTGTATCCAGAGATCGAGAGCATTTGCTCAAACTTTGCAAAGCTCCCCCTCACTCCAAGCAGTGTGTGCTTGTAGTTTCCTTGCATTGTTGTAGACCAATGAGACAGACCAGACTCAGACTCTGAACTGGGTTCAAATTAAGAGAGCTTTATTAGCTGCACGGTGACTGTCACATCCTACACAGAGGAGAGATCAGCCCTGGGCTCAGGGGGAGGGTTGCTTATATAGTTGTTTTAGCCCCTGTTAAGAAATTTGGGCTAAAGGTTTGTGAGCAAGTAAGCACATACAGAAGCAGATATCTATGGTTAGCCTTTACGCACGAGGGGTGAATTAACTATACAATGGGTTAACTCTGGCTGATGTATAGCTCCTTCCTTGCTTAATCAAAAAATTTTTACTATATGTTCACATAGCATGTGTTTGTCCTTCACAACATTGCACTGATCCTGTGAGGCTGAGAGCGAGCAAGTGGTGACCTCTACGTGATTTGGGTATGCAGTGGCGAGATTTGATGCAACCAGCAAGTGGTGATGCAGCGGTGGGATTCAAAGCAACCAGCAAGTGGTGATGCAGTGGCGAGACTCGACAGGACCAGCAATGTAACGGTATGCGAAAGGGAATTAGCAATCTGGATCCAAAGTAAACTTCACTCGAGAAAAAGTTTTCTTGAGCCATGGTGCCCGGGTTTGGGACAGCTGCCAGCATATCTAGTGTCCGGAGGGGTTTCCATTTCAGTATGACAGTATGGGGTCAGTACTTATAGATTCACAGCATGTGACTCAGGAGATCAGTCCCAGCAGCAAGGCGGCTCCAACCTCCTCATCAGAGGATACTCTGGAGCCGACAGCTCCAACATGGTTGCCAAAGGAAACTTTTCCTTTTGTGAAGAATTTCTTAGCCTCACCACACCCAGCAATGGAGGGCTGTATTAAAGAAGCCAGGAAAGTGGGCGGCTTTGGGGCTCTCCCAGCCAGGTCAACAACCGGTGTACGAATGTTTGCTTTATCAGGTTTTTAAAGAATTCAGGAAAAGCTTAAAGGAAAATGGTTTGAAGAGTTCCTTTATGAGAGAACTTTTGAAAGAAATAGCTGATAGTTATCTGATGACTCCCTGGAATTGGACAGCACTAGCCAAAACTGTGTTGATGCTGCCCAAATCGCCATGTGCAAATTAGAATATCAGGAGAGAGCCTCATGAAAGGCATTGGATAATTGTGAATCAGGGATTCCTGTTGGACAAGATATGCTACTAGGACAAGGAAGCAATTTGGATTTCCACGTACAGACAAGGAAAGATGCTCGATTGTTTCATCAGTCCTCTGATGTAGCTACTAAACCTTGGCAGAAGATTCCAGCATCTGGAGGAGACACAGGCCCTTAGGCTACCATTACTCAAGAAACACAGAAATCTTATGTGTCTTTCATTGATAGATTGGAAGCAGTATAAGTAAACAGTTGATAATGCAGAAGCAGCTGGTACATTGCTATTACAATCGCCTGTGAGAATGTTAATGCAGATTGTTGAACTGTGCTTACTCCATTAAGGGAAAAAACCTCATATATAGAAGAATATATACAATCATGTCAAAATGCAGGGACAGAAATTCATAGGTCTAGAGCTTTAGCCCCTGTTCTTGTGACGTTGCCAATAAGAGAATTCAGTAAAAAACAACAAGGGCCTACATTATGTTTCAATTGTGGCAAACCAGGACATTTTCAAAAGGACTGTAGAAAAGAAAATGGCAGAACCCCTGGCCGTCCTACGCAGCCTTGTCCTCGATGTGGCAAAAGCCTGCACTGGGCCAGTCAGTGTAAGTCTAAATATGGCAAATGTGGAAATGCCTTTTCAGGAAATGGGAAGAAGGGCTTCAGACCTGGTGCCCACACCACTCCCTGGGTCCCCCAGCCTCAGGATCTTTCAGTCAGTCAAAGGGAGGGTTGGAGGCCTCGGAGCCTCCACAGCTGGAAGTGCTGGCCTGGATCTTATCACTAACACAGAATTAACTCTTAATGAGTCTGATGATATTTGTTGAGTGCCTACAGGAGTGCATGGCCCCCTGTCAGAGAAGAAAGTGGGTTTAGTGATGGGAAGATCTAATTTAACAATGAAAGGATTACAGGTGGTGACACGGGTAACTGACTCAGATTTTAAAGGAGAAATTACACTAATGCTTAAGGCTGTGCACTTTCATGTATCCACACTGGGAACCTGAATAGCTCAACTTCTTCTCTTATCCTTCTGGGTTCCTGGAGCCAACTCCATAATTAGAGGGAATGCAGGGTTTGGGAGCACTGGTCAGTGTGATGTTCTCCGGACTGCAGCTATTAACACCAAAAAGCCCTTGCTCTCCATTAATATACAAGGGCAACTATTTTCAGGATTAGTGGATACAGGAGCAGACATTTCTATTATAACAACACGGGAATGGCATAAGGAATGGCCTAAAGCCCTGGTACCCCTAATAATTACAGGAGTGGGAGGAACTCAAGCTCCTCAACAAAGTACTCACTCCCTTTCCTGTACAGGTCTAGATGGACAAAAAGGATGGATTCAACCTTATGTCATGAAGTCTCCCCTAAATTTGTGGGGAAGGAATCCTCTCTCTCAATGGGAAATGGTTATTCAAACCCAGCCTTTTGGCTAGGGGTCACTGGTAAAATTCCCCTCCTTTCATTGGCCTAGAAAAC